ATCACCGCAAGAACAATATTATTGGGTTGGAACCACAAGTTCATTGTGCATAATTCCCAGCTGCTTTAAAGTAGCAACCAACGGAATCTCTGCACACATATATCTGGCATGTTACTTCTATGGAGGAATCTGGGCCATGCTCTGGAGCCCACCACCCACAAAATATTCCGGCCAAAACTCAGGCAACATGGTACATAAAACATTTACAACCCTATTGTCCCTTGGGACTGCACTTAGCTGGGGAAGAATAGTAGTAAATGCACAAGCAGTCTCTCAAGAAACTTATCTCCCACAGCTTGCCATTTTAATTTGTTTTTTTTAACACCTCAGCTGCAAAACGCTTTTGCTGTTGCAGATCAACTTAAGACCTCACAAATCAGCCATTTTATCTTATTTATATACACTGTATATATGATTCAGTTTTTCAGTTATTATTATTTATATGTTAACATGAGCCCACATAGCTCTTTAGCAAAGTCACATAGGCCCCAAAGAAGTTTTCAAATATTGGAAGAAGAGAACTGGGAAAATAGAAAGAATGCAGGCAAATGTAGTTTCAAACTTGGTTACGTGGCAGACTTGAGACACTTTGCTGCTTGAGACAAAGGCCAAGACACACTCGAAGTCTGTGCAGACAGATGGTTAGATCTTGTTTCACAGAGGCTGTGGAACAGTGTCCTACTCAACCACACCTGAGAGCAGCAGATTAATAAAAGGAGCTCAGGCTTTGCTAGGAAAATCAGAAGCTGCTTATAGACAGCCAGACTCCTGGACCATCTAGCCCAGTATTGTCAACACTGACAGGCAGCGATAGCTGCCCAGGTTTCAGGCAGGGTTCTTTCCTAGACCTACCTGGAGATGCAGTGGGTTGAACCTGGGACCTCCAGCATACAATCCACGTGGTCTATCACTGAGCTACAGACCTTCCATGCTGGGATATAGGTTCAAGAGGATGGGGAAATTAAGGTGGCAGCAGGAATGGATGGGATCTCCCCCCACCCCACCCCACCCCACCCCACCCCAGCCTGCCTGCCCACATATGCCATCTGAGCAGCCGCCTCACTCTGCCAAGTGGTAGGGACAATGATAGCAAGTTGTCCTCTTCACTGCTCGCTTGCAATGATAGCAAGTTGCTGAAACTGCCTCTTTATGCCTCCACATTTTTCAGAAGAACACAGTTCAATAACCATGCTGTTTACAGGAAATTAATTACTCTATAGCCCAGTGAACAAATTGGACAGGTGTTGGGAGTGGTATTGCCTGCAGTGAGGAGGAGTCAAAGACATATGGCTGCACATGATGACAGAACATATATTCAGTGGTGAATCAACCCCTATCCACCGCTTGCTCCAAGCCCCAGCTCCTCTTTCACCACCTACTGGATCTGTGTCACTGGAGGTACTAAGACTGCATAAATCAGGATGAGTGGGCCATCTCCCTTCGTTCTCCTCTGAACAACATGCAACCATGAATTAGTTCCACTCAACGGCTGCGCTTCTGCAAAAAAGCAGGGGGTTAGAAAAAGGGTTGTCAACGGACAAGGAGAAAACAGCCTGGTTGCACTTATGCATGTAATAGTGGTTTGAGCTCCAGAAAGAGGATTAGATGAAACTTTTCCTGGCTCAAGCATTAGCATCATTTGCTGAGTGGCCAACATACAGCTCTACAGCTATTGTCAGACCACTAATCCCATAGGCATTCATATTTTTGATACTGGTTTTCTCCAATAGTTTAAAAATGTGTACTTTAAAATACTCTACACCTATTGCTGTTTTGTTTAATAAAGGGAGCCACAGTTAACTTGACCAGTTGTGTCTTGTTTGCTGGGGGCAGCGGGAGGGGGATGCCAAAACAAATGATCCTTCTAGATCACTACTGGAACTTCTATGTTTCGAACAGCACTTGTGCAGGATTTGTCCCTAGGGGCACATGTTCCAATTAACCCCAATTCCCTGAGTGGCCAGACAGGTGTTTCCACAAGCCATATCAAATTAAGAATGGAGGTGACTGTGCTAACTGCCTTTTCCAACTGCCACCTGGCACTTTGCTCTTGGACGACTCTGTTAGAGTCAGCTACTGTGCAGGAGATAGTGAGAGATACAGTGAGTCCCTTTCTATTAGCTTACTTTGATTCATGAAATACTTCGTATTTCTCTTGAGTTTTTCTGTTGAAAAAGACAGGTGGGATATAAATGCAATCAATGAAATAAATCCATGGGAAATAGTGCATCATCTCCAAGTCATGGCCATTTTGTTCTATACCTTATATACAACTCCATGCAAGTCTACTCAGAAGTAAGCCCTATAGCATTCAATGGGCTTATTCCCAAGCTGGTAGATATATGATTGCTGCCTTAATATGTTCAAAAGCCCAAGACTTCATGCACAAGAAGGAAGAGAAGAGAGGGCGGTGGAAATGATTTCTTTAAAGCTACAGAATTATTTTTGTGAGAAGCAGTGACTGTAGGAAGCATTCAACATTTGGATTTATTTGAAAAAATAGTATCAGCATCAAAGAGCTGGAATGGGTCACTTAAAAATATGTCAGTAAACCACATTGTAGTCAACAGTTGCATTGACTGCAGCAGGGTCTGATTTGGCTTAAACTAAAACCATTTGATCAAAGATTTTTAAGCCAGTGCAGAGTTGTGCTTGGTCCGCTTAATGAGAGATACCAGCCAGTAACAAGCATGTTGTGCTAAATCTGTACTAGATTTCAGGATTATTTTATCTTTTCCATTTTACATCCCAGTCTTCTACTATAGTGGAGAGCCAGCTGGCCTAAGTGAGGTTCCTGGCTGATCTCCTGTCCAGTCCTGTCCTGTCCCAGCATTGACTAGACCCAAGCTGGCTTAGTTTCAGCAAGCCTGCCTCAGACCATGCCCTGATCCAGAACAAAGAGGAAGCATCCCCAAAGCCTCAGAGCAGACAGCACTTAGCAACCAAGCTAAGCATGCTGTGCTTTTATTTTACTAAAAACATGCACAGGAGTGGGCTGGCTTGGTTTGGGAATCAAAGAAGGTGAATAACCCTTCCCCCACCCCCCACCCCCCTGTACCATAGCTGAGAGTCCCTCTCCTCCACAAAAAGCTGTTATTATTCTGCAGATAACAGGCAAGTGCATAGGTCTGCGTGAATAGCCCTGTGTGAGTAATACCAGGTTTGGAAGAGGGGCTTGGATTGGGAGCAGTAGCACAGAGAGAAAGGATTAGACACGCACACGTGTGGGCCAGCATGGCGGAGATTCAAATCAGCCCCCACTTAGACTACTTTTAGCTTGTTATGAGACATAGTCACACATCTGCCATGCCACATTCAATTTTTGACCCTTGGGGGAAATAGCAGTTTGTCTAACACTTTGCTCCAATTAATGGAGAAGCTACTTAGTAGCCCCATTTAGTGAGCAACTAATCCAGAGGTACAGGATGTGACCTTAAGTAAACAAAGGCCAGGTTCTGGAGATGGAGATGGCTGTTTCTTATCCAGAAGCAAGAGCTTAGTCTAGCAGGACTGTCCTGTTGCTACAACTGAGTCGCTCAGTCTGAAAAGGAGACTCCAGAACTAAAGCTCTACATTTAGGACATTATCCAATAAAAATCATTCCACAAAATCCAATACTGCTAGTGTGGAAACCAAGGCGAACACTGAGGATTGCTGAAATGCCGAAGAAGAAGAAGAAGAAGAAGAAGAAGAAGAAGGAGAAGGAGGAGGAGGAGGAGGAGGAGGAGGAGGAGGAGGAGGAGGAGGAGGCAACCTCATACCCCTCCCTATAAGGAAACAGCCCACCAAGAGCTGCTGAGCTCCCACAGAAAATAGAGTGACAACCAAGAAAGTAAAATACACTGCAGTGGGATACTAGAATGCCCTTCTTGGAGGGAGTGGGCTGCTAGAAGCCTGAACAAGAGCCCTCCTTTCAGAAGGGGGATGCACTTCAAAATTTTATTACAGTTTATAATACTTAGTTCTTTCTCATTGCCTGCCTCTTCCTTTAAAAGCATAGCCTAAGAGCAGGAAAAATCCATCCTTTCTGCAATCTTCAATCTCCATGAACAAAAGCAGCAGGGTAGTACTTGAGGTATATTAAAGAGATGACTAATTCACAATAAGGCGGCAACCATGTCTTCACAGACCTGGATGTAATCCCTAGTGAATATAGCAGAATGCTAAATACTCATCCATTTTGGTAATGAATCTTTCTGGAGTATTTAGTCCTGCATCCAGAACTTGTAGCCTACAAGTAGTCCAATCAGTTGCCATTCTGGCTCACGTTCCTATTATTAGACCTGTTTATGACACACCTCAATATTTTAATTACATCTCAGGGAATCACATCAACATGTCTCTTGAAGGAATGCACTCTTGCACCATGATGCAGATTACTTCCAGGGTGGTAAATGACCTCTCAAACAAGACAGTTTGACAGAAGGCAGATAACAATAACCTTTAAGAGAGGTTTGTATGTATTTTATGCAAGTATAGGACCCTACTCCTTTCATTGTTTCAACCAGAGAAAAAAGAACAACCCAGATTAAAAGAAGAGGAAAAGATTTACAGTGTTTTTAGCAATAATATTGTGTAGTAACATGCTTATTAAAGCATAGGTTGCAATAATCTTCCTCAAACTAAGCAGGCTCTCGTTCAGGTCACTACTCTGAAAAAGACCACATGGTATATTCTGTGTATACTGCTTTTTCATGGGGGGAGGTGGGGTTTAAATAAAACAAACAAGCCCTACTCCTAAATAGTAAAGAAAAATATTATAAAACGTATCCTGCACACAGACTTGCAATCATAATATTTTGTGTCGGTTTTTAAAAAGAGTTTTAGACATTCTTCATGAATGGTTTTAACCAGTTTTTTTTCTTTTTTCTTAAAATGTTGCCACTTTTTTCTGAGAAATTGAAAGTTAACTCAGCAACAATACAGCCACAGAAAAGAATATTTTGATGACTTTCTATGCAGAGTCAAGAAAAAGACACCATCTGTAAAGACATCCATAGATGGCACTCTTCCTAGTCACTGCTCGCATCTCCCGACCTCTTGCCCAGCTGTTTGTTAAAGCTCCACAACTCAGAGATACATCCACTGGTCTTCAGCCCTTTCCGGGATTTTGTTTCTCTGTCTTGAGTTTGAGGTGCCAGCGCTTCTATGGAACAGAAGCTGAGGCTGGCAAGCGGTCTGTCCTGATCACGGGTTGTGACTCTGGCTTTGGATTCACCCTTGCCAAGCATCTGTACGAAAGGGGCTTCATCATTTATGCTGGCTGCCTGCTGAAGGAGCAAGGTCGAGGAGGCTGCAAGGACCTGGACAACATGAAGAGCGACCGTATGAGAACCTTACAGCTCAATGTTTGCAGTGAAGAAGATGTGGAGCGTGCTGTGGACCATGTGACTGCCTCCTTGAAGGACTCGCAGGGTGGACTTTGGGGTCTGGTCAACAATGCTGGGATATCAACCTTTGGGGAGGTTGAGTTCACCAGCATGAATACCTACAAAGAGGTGGCTGAAGTGAATTTATGGGGGACAATCCGCATGACTAAGGCCTTCCTGCCTCTCATTCGCAGAGGCAAAGGCCGTGTTGTGAACATCACCAGCATGATGGGGCGTATGGCAAGCCCTGCTCGCTCCCCCTACTGTGTCACCAAGTTCGGGGTAGAAGCCTTCTCTGACTGCCTCCGTTTTGAGATGCACTCTCACAATGTGAAAGTCTGTATCGTGGAGCCTGGGAACTTCATTGCTGGTACCAACTTGTATAGCCCCGAGCGCATCAAGGCCATTGCCGACAAGATGTGGGATGAGCTACCTGAAATTGTGCGCAGCGACTATGGGCGGAAGTACTTTGATGAGCAAGTTGCCAAGATGGAGTCATACTGCAACAGCGGCTGCTCAGATGTTTCTCCCGTCATCAACAGCATTACCCATGCTCTGACTGCCACTTCACCCTACACCCGGTACCATCCCATGGACTATTATTGGTGGCTGTGCATGCAGGTCATGACCCATTTACCAGCTGCCATTTCAGATCGCCTCTACATTTATTGATGCCAGAACCAAAAAGGAAAACTCATTTTAATTTTTTTTACTGTACAAGGTTCCCAGAGGTCAGTTGGTTAGTTGACTGCAAAGTAGTGTATTTTAGAGCTAAACAGATGTTACTGTAAATAGCTTAGTCCATCTATGGTGTGTCTCATAAACAGGAAGATGTTCTGTATTTCAGAGAGACCCAGCTGAACACAATTTCATACATTCCCATTCTCCCCCATTCATCTCAGCTGTTAAGGCAAAACCCTGGTTGCATTAAAAGCTGCTCTAAAGAGTCAGAAGTTTCAGGAGAGTTTCCAAAATCTATTAGTTGGAAGAGAGGTTCCCCTCCCACCTCTGCAATAAGCTACAGCAGGTAGGAAGAGTCTATGATCCAACAGACTGAGTCTTGATTAACATGAAATGAGAGTGACAAACCTGTCCATTCAAAGGGGTGATGGAAGATTAAAACAACACTGAACACAATGTCAGCCAATAGCCTTAACACCCCTTCCAGAAAAAAATCGCCAAGGGATATCTTGGCGATAACCACAAAGCATCTGTAAATTGAGCGAGTTAGTTCTTTTTTCCATTCCAGCTGCCAACATGTAACAAAAGATGACATAAATAAGTGTGTGTTAATATTTGGGGATGGGGGAAAGGGCTATTAACTTGGGTGAAGTTATTTGCAAGGCAGCAGCCTATTATTGCTGCACCTTGAGTGCACCAGCAGAGAGCCAGAAATAAGCCACTTAAATCATATGCACCACAGGGGAAGGGAGACATTCTGCCCAATTTCTTCCCATGAAGAGCAGGTCCAGAAAAATGACGGAAGCCCTGTTTATGATTTATGGATAAATTTGGTGGGGCTAAAAGAGAAAACATTTTGTTGACTGCTTATTTGTTCCTACGTACCTGCCATGCAGTTTGAATGCAAGTCAGGCCATGCTTTCTCTCTCATTCCAATTGGGACAATACCGGGAGTGCTCCCAATTTGACAAGGTCATTCAAGGCGGTCCAAACCAAGTGGCTCGTGGTGCATTCCCTGCCCCCGCCCCACAAGCTATCAGGAATTTCCTGGTGGCTTAGAGCTTTGGAAAACTCATTCCTTACACCAGTGCCTAAATTACGTCGAGGAAGAGAATAAGGAGGGAGTCCAGCCTGGCTTTGAACACCTGCCAAATGTTTAATAGCTCAGTTGGCTCAAAACTCTTTCTAAATATAAAAACCCCATCCAAATCTTGAAATGCATGCAGGTACAGCTGAAAGCATAGGCTCTATATGGCCCTCATTAAGGACAGTGTAAAAATGAGTTGCTTATGAACAATACAAAGAATAATGCATAGTAATGTATAATGTCTCTTTAAAGATTTAAAATAAATATTTGGATTATATCCTCAGAATGCTGCCCAGGGAAGCAGAGGCATTGCTTAATTTTTAAAGTGAAGTGCCTTTTAGCAAAAGGGCTAAGAAAAGGAAGTCTATGGATACTTCTAAATTCAGAGCAGGGTGAGGAGAGACTGCACTTGTTCCATTGTAAAGCACATGCCACTCCATAGATGATTCAATCTTTTAGTCTTTTTAAAATACTGAAATTACTAAAACCACAGAAATATATCTGTTATGTGCAGATATCCACCTGTACATTAATTTTAAAAACACATAAGAAAAGACCTATTAGGCACGCATCGTATCAAATTTCCAAACTACTGGAAAACTCCCCTTTTCAAGAGGATTATCCCTATTCCAATGTAGAATAAACCTCCCCGGGCAATGAAAAGGAATCAAATGAATTATAACACTGTCAGTGCTTGCATATGTTTTACTCAGTGTTCTCTCCAATTGCTCATACTTTCTTAATATACAATAATTAGTTCACATCTTTTTTAAAGGAAGGTCCTCAGATGGTACCGCTATATGGGTGTGGTAAAAGCAGAGGGAGGGGTAAAAAGCCAGAGCATCTGCAGGAAACTTTTTCTTATACCCACTGGATTTGAGCTAAAGGGAGAATTATCAGGTATAACGCCCCTGAGGCTCTTGGGACTGTTTCCTTCCTTTCCCAAAACACACTGCAAAGTGGCAGGGAAAAAAATGTTCTGCTCAGAATGAAGATGCTTGTGCTGTACAGCCATGATTGCCAGGAGAGGAATGATGCTTGCCTCATCTGGCAAAAGGACTGTGGGGGTGAACATGTTGCGACCCAGAAAAGGTTTCAATAAATATTAGCCAAGGATGCTTCCAGGCCACACCATTAGAGCCTGTGATGATGTTTAGCAGGAGCTGTTTGCTACTGAAATTTGGGTCCCGAGGAAGGCAAGCTACTCCGTGGGCCAGAAGCACTGCAAAGCTGAAAGAAAGTTTCACGGATTTTATTTCCTGCTTCAGCAGTAGAATCTAGGTACGCTGTTTAGGAAATCCAGCATTCATCCAAAGTCACAGAAAGTCTTGAACAAACAGTTATTTCTCAGTTCCAACATTCTATAAAATGGAAATTAGTAATGAAGAATAATGATATATGGAAGAGTTTTTATCCAGCCAATATATAGTTTTATGTGCATCTATCTATGTATAAGGCCTAAGCTAAGTCCCTCTGTGAATACTGTAGAGGAAACACTTTTGCTAATTGAGCATTTGGGAAGGGATAAATTGATAAATGAAAGCATGAAAGATTGTTTTGCCTAAGGTGAAAGGCAGCATCCTATCTCTGCAATGACTCAACCAGACAGACAGAGTGCAATGAGGGCTAACTCACACACATCCTTTCTCGTTCTCTCACAAACACACATGCATACATATGTCTAGTGGCCACATGTTGTAAATATAAAAGTGATTTAACTAAAATTATCAATTATCAGAGAACACGGGGCTCTATTAAAATATGAAAAGAAACCAAAGGGGGAAATTAAGCAAAAGCAGAATGGAAGCATTTAAAAGTAATACATTTTTAACATGAATACCACTGTATAAATATCATAAAGAAAGCCAGTGCAAAATAAAATAAATTTGCATTCCTATAAAAGGCAGTATATAAGTAATACTACCAAAGTATTTATCAAGAGTAAACACAATGCATGTACTTATGTTGTTGCCAAATACAAGTTGGTTTCCCTACGAGAGTCTCTTAAGTAGCACCCACACTGCACGTACAGCCGCTACCGGTTCCTGCTGTGCTGGAAAGATTTCAGTGATGCTATTTACAGTACCAAAACCTGTGTGCTTTCCGGTATCTTGAAAGGCCATTTGAGATCTACAGGATCAAAAAGGCTGATGAGCTTTGATGTGGCTTCTGAAGAATGTGAAAGTGGGACTTTTCCACCAACATACTCTCTGCCCACAGTCACTCCCTTCTGCTTCTTAAACTGAAGTTGGAAACTGCATTGTTTTTCTTCCCTTTTTACAATGTGCAGTTGCTCTGAAACCGAGTCTGCTTTCATTCTCTTTCAAAGCACAGCTGAAAGAACATGGCTTATTTGGTGTCTCTCTTTCTCATTAAGTACTGTGCCTAGGAGCTTCCAGAGATAATTTAGTTCAGCATGACCTTGGACGGATCATTTTACCACTCATTTGTTTTTATTGCACGCGTGCGTGCAAACACACACACACACACACACCCCTCTTCATCTCTTCCAGAGAATCCTGATTAGAATAATTCCACACTTTCTTGCTTGCTCAATGTCCTGTACAATGTATGAGTATTTCCCAGTGAAAACTTTCCTAGCTCTTTCTAACATTATGTTGTTAGATCCCCATCATTTTACTATGAAACCATCAGAATTTTAGCAGATAAAGCAACAATCTGAGGAGAGGGGCTGTAGCTCAGGGGTTGACCGGACACTGTGCAGGCAGAAGGCCTCAAGCTGAATCCCTGGCTTCTCCGGGTAAGTCTGGAAAACCCCTGCCAGACACCCTCTCTGCCTCACAGTGTCACCAATACTGGGCTGGACAGAGCAAGTCTGAGTCAGTAGGGCTGTTTGAATGAAAGGACAGTCCACCAAGGGTTATTGAGGGAGGGTCAAATTTGTATGTGATTCCTTTCCATTTGTACAGCTTTCCCAATCTGATTTGCATAAAATTCCCCTACAGATTGAATCAGATTAGGTCTATAAAGGAAAGTGTGCAAATTAGGGAAACTGCGCAAATCTGAGGTCATTTCTGCCAATTTCCACATTTGATCATTGCTTAAATTGTGCAATTTTTCCCTTTACACAGAGTAAGCCGGGACTGTCAATGGGAATCAGGCACAAAGCAACTGGCAAGCTAATGCTTAGGAAAATCTGGTGGCCTTGAACATCATTCATCTCCAGTCCTGGGCAATTCAACTTGGTATCCCAGCCTTGCTAATTTGTGTTCTGTAAAAAAGAAAGACCGACCGACCGACCGACCTTGTGACAGCAAATGCAAATGCAAAAGGAATGTTCTGATGTTTAGAATGCAAATTCACTGCAATATTATACTTAGCGTATACTCTAAAATGGGGACAACCGTTACCCACCAGGTGGACTGGTTATGAGGATGAATGGGATACAGTCTATAAATCACATAGTTCACTGAAAGAGTGATCCTAGGGCATGTAGGCAGCTTCTGAATGGCCAAAGATTTCTTTGGATTACCAGCTCTGAGGTCAGAGACAGCACTTCCACCTCAGAGCTGGGAATCAGAGCTCTGACCCTATTCCCTCACCTATCACAGCTGGCACAAAAAAGCCACGCCAGCTGTTCTCCAAGGTTGGGAAACAACTTCTAAGAAGGGGCTATTTTTGGCAGGATAGGATAAGACTGGAAAGGCCAGGATATGGAGTCTCCTCGGGCCTTCACAGCCTCCCTCCCTCTCCCTCCAAGATGCTCCCTGTAGATATGCAAAAAAGCCTTCCTAGGAAAATTGCAGAACAGGATGGGGCGGCAAAGATGGTCTCCAGGACTTCTCCTGCTCGGCACACATCCCCATGGGACTGCACCCTAAACTGCAACAAAAGCGTCATAGCTAAGTGGCAGGGCACGTGCTTTGCATGCAAAAGGTCCAAA